AACACCTATCAGCCAAAGTATAGTAGCCCGCGCCATCCTCTGGGAACTTACGCGAGGGAGGGATAGACTTGGCTCTATCTGAGTCTTGAGAGCGCCTACCTCCAACACGGGTCCTCTCCGCTTTCAGGGTGGAGGCCTTACCCTTCTAGATGATGAATGGTGCTGTTGCGAACGAGAACCAGAGCAAGTATCAAGCCGGTGGGCCCGGCTCCGACCTGGGAAAAGTGGAATGAACACGATGCCATGATGTACAGTGGATGTATGCGCGTACCATGAGCATCGAAGGCGACTGGGGACGGTGTTAGGACATACAAGTTTCGAGATGAGTTGAATCTCCAAGTAGCAGGAGAGATGCGGTGGGTGATTCCCGCGTGTACGGGAAACGTATCCTAGGCTCTGGTGCGTCCAAGCCAGGGGTCAGGTCGACATCGTTCGTCCGAGCCAAGTCCTTGCGACCGCGTTTGGCATTCCTTTCAGACTTCACAGAATCGTCTCATGTTGAGTATATTGGCCAGGCAGTACGTGCGTCAACTTTCGAGAGTCGGGAATGGGAAGGAAGTCGTCGAGACCGGCCGTCGCGTCGTCGTGGCGGGAGGCAAATCGTCACGCGTCTCCTTTTTTGAAGTCCTCGTCCACCACACAGATCGACACACTCCGGAACACTCGTGGTGACATCCTTGTAGAGGAGGAAGATATCTCAGGATCGATTCGTTCACATTTGGGCTAACGGCCTCTAAATGCATAAGTAACAGAAGAGCTGCCTTCAGGTATTAAGGCAGGGTGCGCAGACCGAGCTGATACTCGCGGTCATCATCTGATTATCTTCTACCGACAGACAGTGCCATGTGAGATACCGCTTGTTGACTGGGCATGATACGTCGAAACGCATTCTCGTCCATTGAGCATTCAGCTCGACTTGGCGACAACAGGAGCGCCTCCGAACAGCGCTTCCGTGTACGTTTTCAGGCCTTCCGTTCCATAAACATACGCCCCGACATATCCATCCGGTCGGACAAGCACCAGCGCCTGACTAGAATCATCCCCGACCCCATACTCGCGGAACGCGTGCCCTGCCTTATCCAGCAGTACGACATCGGCTCCTTCGGTCAGCGTCGCAAATGTGTCCTCCTGCTCGTCGGTGACAGAAGGCGATATGACCACGGCGGTCTGCACAGTCCCTGGAGGGAACGAAGCTAAAGCCTGCAGGAACGCAGCGATGATGGAGGAATCGCGTTCTGCTTGACGAAGATGAGCGCGGTGTGCTTCGTCAGCTTGAAGAGCTTGAAGATCGACGTCGGTTCTTGGCCTTCAAGAGACGCCGCCGCCGAGGCTCGAATTACCTCCAACTCGGGTGCCTCCGGTGCCCTGTCCCCCGCGTGCACGCCGTCGTCATTGCCTGTGTACGCTCGTGAAGTGTCTTTCTTCTCTGGAGAATTCGGATCCACACGGTCGTCCATAACGATCCCGCTCCAACGATAGTTGATATCGAGCATGTAGAAATTCGTGCTCCTGTTGAAACCTTTCTTCGCGTCCTTCTCTTCACGAGTCGTCTTGTACAGACCGCCGGTGAGTTGGAGCATCGTCCTGATTACGGGATGGCGTTCGTCGTCGTAGCTAGACAAAAGAGACGGAGATGCGTGACCGCTGCTAACCAGTGCCAGTTTCCAGCCGATATTCACGGCATCCTGTAGGCCGGAGTTCAGGCCCTGGCCACCGGTTGGAGGGTGGATATGTGCAGCATCCCCGGCAACGAACATGTTGAACTGGGACACGCTGCGGCTCCCTGCGGTACAAGTACCTCAGCAGTCGGTGGTTTCACAGGTCTACCACTTACCTGCAACCCTTCTCCCGACGAGAAAAATTGATCGTGGCTCTTCCTTTCAACCCGCTATTGCAATCTACCGTAAATTACACAGTCACATCCTTGACCTACTAGATCTTCTGACCTACATCACAACACCTTCCACAACATCTCTATCGCTAGAACGGCGATACCGACTAGATAAGAAACAGGTTGCGATACTCCCTCATTATATCTTTCCGGCGAGAAAGGCGCCGTACGGGAGCGCTACGTATTGTCCGAGATCCGGGTCGAGGACGTTCAAATCCTTGAACTGTCGATCGAAGGCTGGAGGATCTGCCACCCTCCGGTAGACTTTCTGCTCTACAACAGCGAGTTGGCGTCGGAATTGCACGTCGGGTACTCATCAGGCTGTTTAGCGGTCGTTCCCCGGCTTACGTTGAAAAGCGACGCCTCCGACTCGGCAACAAGGGGCGAGCGCGACTCCTCCGAAATAAAGTAGCGTCGCACGAGGATAACGAGTTGTTTCTGATGCTCCCGAGCTTGCGTCATCTGCACATAGACCTATGCGGCAAGACTGCGAATGCGAGTGATATCAACGTTTGGCGAGATCTCCTGGTGCGGAGGAACAGGGTGGCTAAGCTGAAACTGTTTCTCAGCCACGTCGAAGGGTTATCCGGTGAAGTGTCAAGATTCCGCTACCTACCTACCTACCTACCTACCTACCTACCGCACTCACGTGTTGACATGTCGGATAGGATTGATGTGGTTGGACCGGGAACCCGGCGGGACGGTTGCTCATAGAGTATAAATACCATGTACTTACATCGCAATCCGTACTCGCTTGCCCGGTCCTCCGGGGTCAAGTGTTCTTATTATCTCTATCAGTCTCGTCGAGCTACGCGTTTCCTGATATGAAGATCTTGCGAGTCTTCGCGAGGCCGCTGGTCCTCATCGAGTGTTAGTGGTTCCGTCGTAACAGCGATCCTTATAGTAACTCCGGTGTAGAGTATCCCCTGCAAAGTACGAGGAGAGCTATTCACCGTTTCTTACCAAGCAGGGATCGACCAATACGCGTATTTCTGTTCACAGCCCGCAAGTGTTCTTTGTCAGTAAGATCGCATTACGAGGAATGGCCTCCATATAACTTCTCCGGTTTCCGCGCCCCTCGACTGCAATCTCTTACCCTCTCGGGTGCATGTTTCACCTGGGATTTGCTGCTTCGCGAGGTTGCTCGTCTCAGAGAAGACGGCCGTGTGACCTTTGTGGGATCACGCACGTAAACACTGACTGCGGTCTTCGTTCGCGTCCCTCTCCGATCCGGGCAACTCGGCAAGATACTGTCTTGCTGCGGATGTCCGACGCGCGACGAGCAACTCGAACCGTTCGATCGAGATGAATAGATGTCGAATATAATATAGAATGAGGATGCTACGTGATACATGTGCTTGCAGGTTCATTATGAGAGTGATATCCTGTAAGATACGTGGCGCGCGTGAGCCCCGGAGTGTTCTTTCGTTGCGTTGGTCCGTATCTTTCTTAAAACGAGCCACTCGGCTTGGGAGCGTAGCGAGGAAGCGACTCGGCGGGTTTGGTGAGGAGGAAACCTAAATTTCAATTCAAGATGGAATGAGTACGGTTCACGTTGCGCACGAAGGGCGAGATTCACCTTTGAGACCGGCTGCCTTCTCGCCCTGGCGTCCGAAGCCGTAGCCCGACTTGCCACTCTCGCCCGTCGAATGCTCCGCGATCTTCTCGCTCACGCCGTCCCACACCTTGCTCACGAACGGCGGCGGGCTCGAGAGGTCGGCCCTGATCGGTCCGACGCCGACGTTGGTGGGCAGCACGTCCTTCGCGCGCTCGCGCCACGCGAAGATGGAGCGGCGCGGGCGGGCGGAGCCGCGGAAGACGAGGCCGATGAAGATGTTGAGGCAGCCGACGGAGAAGAGGAAGAAGGCGGAGACGAGGGCGAAGGTGTCGACGTGGTGCGAGAGCACGGCCGCGCCGAGGAGGCACTCGAATAGCCCGAGGGGCCCGAGCCCGAAGTCGGCGCCGAGGACGGGGAAGAAGGTGTCGAAGAACTTGGCGGGCCAGCCGAGCTCGGAGAGGATGAGGATGACGATTTGGAAGATGATGAGGAGGCGGTTGAGCACGGCCCAGAAGGCGCCTGCGGGCTGGTGCGGGACGGTGGTGCCTTCGATGTAGTCGCAGTCGAGCATGGTGTCGTCCGAGGTGGTCGAGTTCGAGGAGGAGGATAGGTGCTTGCCGGCTTCGATGAAGCGGTTGACACCTTGGACGTCGTGGACGAGGGTGACGATGCTTGAGGAGAACATGAGGATGAGCGCGATTATGCTCAGCGCGCGGATAGCGTTGAGGCCGATGAAAGTGTCTGTCGAAGCGTCGCGTCAGCGCTGAGACCGCGCAGGGATTGTTGAATATAACATACAGGCACGGAGAGGAAGCATCTTGGTTTGGTTACAACAAGGAGCAAAAAGGTAAGGCTACAGCTGGAGATTGCTGGACAAGGGCACAGGTGCAGATATGGCGTGTAGGGTGTAGACGGGTCGAAGGCGGCCCAGCCGTCAGTATCAGAGAGCGTTAGGCGTTCGTGAACGGAGAAGCTTGTGAAGGAGGAAAAACCAGACGGGGCGACCGAGCGCCAATATTTATGCAAGCCCGGGGGCAGGTGGCCTGAAAGGATGATCGAGGTGGGAGGTGAACGCAAGGCAAAGCCACTCGAGATCCTTTTGTACGGGCGGCCACAACTCTGGGCCTGCGTTCGGGACGCGATATGCCGCCATTGTCTTTGGTGGCAGAATGGAGTGTGCGCGGTGGGTTGCCGTGGAGGCCGCCATTGTCGAGGACAAAGACAAAGGAAGGATCTGTTACGTAATGTGACTGTGGGAATATGATAGCCATGCGGTGCTCCCGTATAGGCTCGTACGTGTAAAAGTAGGCGCCAAACGCCAATATCCGACTCCCCCTTTCACACCCTAAGGCAAAAACATCATTTCAAAGTTGAATTGTTTTGAATAAATGGGAATGTACATGATCAGGTAGTTATAGTCGGAAAAACTGCATGCATGTTAACGAATCGGTGAGTCTTCCGTGAACACAACTGAATGACGATGAAATTTCACAAAATGATTTTAGGTAACGCTCGACGTGTATCAATATGACTTCCGAGAGATATCCTCGCTCTAATGAAGCGGAACCACAGTTCATGGAAACAGGGCGAATAAGATCATCGATGAATACAATAACATTCCTAACAACACTTCCGGGGATTGTCGGTCTTCTCTCGGAAGAAACCGTCGTCACATCACGCATTCAAACTCTAATCATCACATTCATGCACCGAATGACGTACAAGTATTCATCACATAACATTCATCACAATCGCAATGAGACATCCACTACAATTCCACTTCATCCCAGCATTTCCCACACATACACAAAGTGCTGCGTCCATCGCTATCCAAACCAGCCTCAAGCCATGTCACGAATCCGTGACAAAAATCACGTTTTTGTCACTTTTTGGCGGATGGGAAACGAAGTAACATGTGACATAGCCCATACTGAAAACCGCCCCCACCTACGCTTACGCTTCGGGGGAGTCGGAAAGTTGTTGTCCCTAAAGCCCTCGCTTTGTTCTGTTCTTGATCTATGACATGCATGAAAGCTCAGCAAGTTAGTTATAAACCCGATGCATATGTTCACGGGCGAGAAGGCATCCTTGCATTGACTTGGGCCGCGGATCGTGATACTGCCAGGCTGTCGCGTCGGCGCGATCCTTCGGTGACAAGGACGATTATTTGGCCAGTACAAGCACAATTGGATTCAAATCGCCACGTTATACGGATCTGTTGGTACAGCTGTTCGCAAGGGCTCGTATTCCGAAGAGTATCGTGCGAAAGCGAGGAAACCGGAACGACCTTGATTATATGCGTTTTCCCTGAAGCTGCGCCTTCTTCTTGGCCTCGACCTCGGCGGCTTTGGCTAACAGTGGAACGTTGAGTCAGGATATGCTTACAGGCTGCCGACGAAGCGATCGTGGAGTGGAGGTACTGACCCTCAGCTTCGGCCTTGCGCTTTGCGGCGGCTTGCTCGCGATCAGCACGGATCTTGGCGAGACGAGCGAGGTCGGCCTTCGCTTGGTCAGTCTTGCCTTGTTCGTGCAGCTGCTCGTCGCAATGTACGTTAATGCATTGGTACGGAGGGCATAGGGCGTATAGCATGTGACGGACCTTCCAGTACTTGTCTTGCGCATCCTTCTTTTCTTTAGCCTCGCGCTCGCGGCGAGTTAACTCCCTCGGCTGGTCGATCTCGCTCAGCTTCAAGCTGCGGCCGGCGGCACGATTCAAGTTGGCCTCGAGGGGATCGTCGCCGTCCTCTTCGCCTTCTTCCTTCACCACCGCCGGTTTCTTCTTTTGCTGGGCCTTCAGTGCGCGGCGTTCGGCGCGGCTGAGCTCTTGTTGCGGTCCTGATGCTGCGGCGTCCTCTTCTTCCTCTTCTGACTCCTCCTCCTCTTCTTCTTCTTCTTCCTCTTCCGACTCTTCGTCCGAGCCGTCTTCCTTCTTGCGCCTGTTGAGGTCACAAAACGAGTTGAGCGGATTCAGAAGATGGAGTGGCAGCACGCACCATCGTTGATCGGCGGATACGGCGGTACCATTTTCGTCTAGTACGAGGTTCTTACTGACGGCGTGTAGAAGTAGGATGAACACGATGCGCCCACAAGGAGACACGATGTTGCGTACCTGAACGAGCGTCCACCTCCGCGTTTCTGCTTGAACTTGCCTGCCCCATAAACGAATGACACACAGCTAATCAGTCGTGTGTGAGAACGTACCGGTTCCGCGGACCATTGTGTCGAGCTTTCAGATATAGATGAGGAGGGAGATCAAGGCTATCCGTCGTCCAAGGACCAATGCAGACTCTGCTATACCAGTGCCAGTGTCGCCGTCAGAGTCATTGATCTTATCAGTGACTCAGAGCCACGTGTCAAACTATGGCTGTGCATGCCATGTGACCGCCTTTCAGCTCGACACGTATCCCGGAGGTCGGACTTCGGGGTCGTTCATAACTTCTCGTCCTTGCGGCGCTACAGGCTCGATTAATGCTAGACCTGACACGTTGATACCCTCCACGCACTCTTAACGCATTGCTCTAGACGGCAGGACTCTCTCTGGACTTCACCCAACATGCATCGCTTTCATCGACATCTCTCGGTTCTCTTAGTGTTATGTCTGGCGTTCGTGACGAGGGAGGCGCTGGCGTCGGTGCTCGCGATCGACTACGGCGCGGACTGGATCAAGGCGTCGTTGATGAAGCCCGGTGTGCCCTTTGACGTGCTGCTGAACAAGGACTCGAAGCGGAAGATACAGTCGAGCGTCGCATGGAAGAATGACGATAGACTTTTTGCTTCCGATGCCGCGAATATCGTCAGTACCCGCGCGTACATTTACGGCTCGATTTGCTACTTACACGTACGTCTTGCAGGCGACTCGCTTCCCCACGGACTCGTTCTCCTCGCTCAAGTTCCTGCAAGCCGTGCCCTACGACGCGGACGCCGTCTCGTTCTACGCCAACGTCTCCACCGCCGAAACGGTCGAGACCGCGCGGCACACCGTCGCCCTCGTCCGCAAGGACGGCACGGTGTGGAGCGTCGAGGAGCTGATCGGGATGCAGTTCTCGTACGTGAAGGAGCTCGCGGAGTCGCTCGCGGGCGAGAAGGTGACGGACGTGATCGTCGCCGTGCCGTCCTTCTACTCCCAGTTCGAGCGCGACGCGGTCGCGGACGCGATCGAGATCGCGGGACTCCGGCTGCTCGCGCTCATCAACGACGGCACGGCGGTCGCGGTCAACTACGCGATGACGCGCACGTTTGCGAAGCCCGAGTATCACGTCGTGTACGACGCGGGCGCGAGTGCGATCAGGGCGAGCGTCGTGGAGTTCGCGACGGAGAAGGGCGCGACGAGTATCATTGTTAAGGGCGTGGGCCACGACCGGTCTACGGGTGGCACCGAGCTCGATCGCCGCTTGCGGGACCTGTTGGCCGAGGACTTCAAGACGAAATACGGGAAGGATATCAGGACCGATAAACGCGGCATGGCGAGGTTGTGGAAGGAGGCCGGGCGGGTGAAGGCGATCTTGAGCGCGAACACGGAGAGCAGGGTCACGGTGGAGAGCATCGCGTTCGATATCGACTACAAGAGCAGGATCACCCGCGCGGCGTTTGAGGAGGCGTGCAAGGACTTGCACTCGCGGTTCGCGCAACCGGTGTTAGACGCTATCGCCCACTCGGGGTTGACCTTGGTAACGTCGACTTCGATGTGATCCGGTTTGTCGTCGTGTCTGACCCAGTGATGGCTGAATAGGAACAAATCAACTCGGTCATTCTCTTCGGTGGAAGCACCAGGACGCCGATGATACAGTCTGCGCTTAGGGCCGCCGTTGGAGAGTGAGCCGCCCGGTTTCGTCATTTCGCTGCAAGTTAGCTCAATCTGTATTTGCATCTAGCAATAAGGTCGCCACCAACGTAAACGCCGATGAAGCGGCCGTTCTCGGTGCCGCCCTTCATGGCGCCTCTCTCAGCAGGCAGTTCAAGACCAAGGACATTAAGATCTCCGACATCACACCCTACGACGTCCAGGTCTCGTATCAGGCCGAGGGCGCCAAGCCGCGCACCATCAATACGCTCGTCTTCCCCGCTGGTAGCAAGGTCGGAACGAAAAAGACGCTGACGTTTAAGCGCAAGGAGGACTTCAAGGTCACGATGGCGTATAAGACGCCACCCGCTCCGTATGTCCCCGCTGATCATATCACATTCACGACGATGCTGACGGGTTCTCGTAGTGGATTCCCAACTGACCTTCTCGAAGTCGACATTACTGGGGTAGCAGAAGCCATTGCTAACCTTACCGAACGAGGCGCCGTCGACCCCGTCGTAAAGGCGACAATCTCTCTTTCCGAATCAGGCTTTGGGTCCGTTCCGGAAGCGGTCGCCTACGGCGAGATCAAGGACGAGTCGATCGCAGGTATGTGCTCGTCTACATGCTCTATTTAGGCGCTATATTCTCGCTGTTCCAAGGAAAATTGAAGAATCTGTTTGGTAAAGGGTCGTCTTCGGAGGTGTCGGCGGAAGAGACCGAATCCGTGTCGGACGCGCAGGCTTCGCCGTCTGCGTCTGCTGAGAAGAAGAAGGAGACGAAGAAGGAGGACACGATCAAGCTGACGGTGACGCCGCGGTTCCCGTCGATTGCGCCGATGACCGTCGAGGAGAAGAGGACTGCGCGTGATCGGTGGGTTATGCCTGGTCAACATGCGATATATATTAGACTGAACGCTCGTGTGTGTTCAGGTTGCGGGCGGTAGATGCCGAGGAGGCTGTCAAACGCCGCCGCGAAGACGCTCGTAACAGTCTCGAGGCTTACCTCTACCGCGTTCGGGACCTCCTGGACGAGAGCTCGCCAGATGCGCCGTTCATGAAGTGCTCGCAGCAGCCAGAGCGCGAGAAGATGCGGGAGAAGCTCGAAGAGACGTTTGCGTGGCTCAACTCGGAGGGCGAGGACGCGGACACGGCGCAGTACCTCGACAAGCGTACCGCACTCGAGTAAGCACCCTACTCACCTCGTCATGAGACGCGATTCTGAAGGATCCCTTTACCTGCAGGATACTCGAGAAGCCTGTCGTCCACCGCTACACCGAGATAGAAGAGTTCCCGCGCGCGCTCAACAACTCGCAAATGTGGAACTGGAGCACGCGGATGTTCCTCACCGAGGCGAAGCAGAACCTCACCCAGGAACAAAAGGAAGGGGTCCAGGGCCGTTTCACGCAGGACGACCTCGACGGCCTGGAGAAGACGCTGAAGGAGCACGAGTCGTGGTTGAACGAGTGGGTCGAGAAGCAGAAGAGCGTGAAGATGAACGAGGACCCGGTGATCCTGACGAGCGAGATGAAGGCGCGGGCGAAGACGCTCGAGAACCACCTGCAGAGGCTGGTCAGGAAGAGAGCGCCGAAGAAGCCAAAAACGACGACGACGACTACCTCGAGTACGACCTCGACGGCTGCGGCGGAGACGGAGACGGCGTCTGCGGGCGCAGACGGCAGTCAAGTGCCGGTAGACGATGCCCGGCCGACTACCTCGTCGCCCGATCCGAGCTCGACGACGTCCGCCGACGGCGCCAGCGAGACAAAGTCGAAGCACGACGAACTATGATACACCGCTGAGAGCTATATATTGTCGTCAACTATCTGCATAATAGAGCATATTTTTCGTTACCCTCATCCATGCTGTGAGCCTGCGCGACCCACCGATCAGATTTAACCGCCCTGTGGCTGTGTATAGCAGGCGCGATTCCGCCGTCGTGAGCCTGAGCTTGAGCCTGTGCCCGCGGCGTTGCAGAGCCCGTCTCGCTGTTATCGCCGCCTAGAGCTTGTCCGCGATACAACGCTTGCCTATCTCGATTATTACCTCTGACGATCATCTCGTCGCGCGGGCGCGAGATTCGGTACTTCTGCTCCCTCGTTCTCACCAACTTCGGACTGCGAGTTATAGGCGGGCTTCCTCGCTAAACTGGATTCGGCTACACGACTATGTCGCAGATATCTAGGAGAAGCTATGGCAGCTTTTCGCACGAGCGGAGGATATCCAAGCATCGGGTGACGGATGAGGAACTATTCAAGTGTGTCATGAAGCCACGTCCTTCAGGCGGTCGATTACTGATCGTAGTCCTTGTGCAGCTATACCCTCCGCGTAGCGTATGTGCGATGCATTACAATGTGATCAGCGGCCTCTAACGTATCTCATTAGATTGCTTGCATATCTTATGCAGCCCAAGCCGGAGGTGCAATCTCAGAATACTGAATCCGAGCGCCGGGAACGCGAATATGTGGCCCGCTTGCAAGGCGCCGTGTCCAACTCGCTCGTGTCGATCGGAGATCTGTTCAAGGACACGCTACGAGATGGCCCGAAAACTGTGCAGTTCCCGGAGAAGATGTTGAAAGTGCTTGACAAACGGTTGGAAAAGATTGGCATGGCGCAGGATCCATCGTGAGCACACACACCCCTCGTTCATCAATGCATGCATTAAGTTTGAACCGATGTGCTCCTTCAGCTTCTCCGACGCCCTCACACGGCGCGTGCTCATTGCCTTCTGGAACGGCACCATGTCCAAGCCCGAGTTCAAACGACAGATGAAGGACAACCGCAAGATTGAAGACCTCATCCTCATGTTCGTCACCAACACCACCAACGCGCTCAAGAAAGAGCCCTCCCTCGGCACGGACGGGTGGAAGACCGAGCTGAACAACCAGATCGCGACCTTCATCCGGCTCCTGCGCGAGTGCCTCCGCAGCGTGCACCACGTCCCGCCCGAGTTGATCTCGAGGCTGGATATGTACACCGCGAAGCTCGCGCCGCCGAAGACGCAGAGCGTATACAGCGATTCTGGGTACGATTCCGGGTCACAAGCGGGGAACCGAGACTCGCTGTATGGATCGCCGGTGGTCGGCGTCAGCACGAACGTGTCGGACATGCCCCTCGTGAAAACTGTGGCGCAATTGTTTAAGGTTGATGACCAGACTGCGCAGCGGGAGATCGACACGCTGAGACAAGTTTGCCATGAACGAGTATGGTTTTCTTTTATCATCACGTTTTATGTGCCGCTGACATATTCTGACCATAGGCAGCGCTGACGGACCTGAAGGTTGGTCCATCTATGTGTGGCGATATGATTAGACGATATTGACATGATCCATAGACGTGCTTGAAGAACATCAACGCGGGGTCACCATTTCCTGGCCGACGAGAAGACTTCGATAGCGATGCCGCGTGGCAGTACTGGCGCACACTCGAAACCTCCCATCTCTCCCAACTCATGGTCGTCATGGTCCAGCTTAACCCAGAGCTCGCGAAATCGACCCCCTCCGACGCTTTCCCTCAGTCCCCAGGCGGCAGCGCACGACCAGGTTCTATCTACTCCCAGACAGGCTCCTTCCACCCCTCTCGGGGGTCCATCAGCAGCCGAAAGTCGTTCTTAGCCGGTTCCGGCAACCCCGACGCGGTGAGCGCCGAAATCGACGGCGACGACGAAATCCAAGTCGGGCACAACTTCACTTTCATTCCACCTAACCCGAAGAAGTATTACCGTCGCTTGTTGGAAATATGCATCACGGCGGACCTGGAGGCAATGTTCAGCGATGCCGTCAATGACGACGACGAAGTCTCGCTTGGCATCCTGACACCACCCCATATTGAGCTCATCAATGAATGCGCGTTAAGGTGGAGAATTGGGCAACCGTATCGGGCGGCCTGCTTCTTGGACTTGGTGAAGCAGTTTTACGAGCGGAATGATGTGCCGCTGGAGTGCATACCGGAGGCCCTTCAAACTATTCACAAGGTGATGACCGAGATTGAGCTTGACAAATGGCCCATACAGGACGTAAGTGAATTTAAAAAACAGAAGGGGCATTCTCTCATGATTGTGTAGTCCGATTATCTAGCACAAGTCTACGGCGGACTCTTCAACATCTTCTTATCCGCTCTCTACCACGCGCTCGACGGCATTCCCCATCTTAAAGCGTCCGACGTGGCTCCATACCTATCCATCCTGGAACACGTTCGCGACAGCGGCCTGCTCGACAGATTTGAAGTCGACGTCGGCGCCAGGATCGCGGAGATACAGGACAAAGTTCGCGAGCTGTCCCAACGGGTGTACGAGGAGAAAATGCAAGAGTTCATGGCACAACGAGGAGTCAACTCGGCGTTGCCGCTGCTGCTCATGACGGACGAGATTGAGAAGAACGCCAAGTTGTTGGATAAGCGGTTCCCGGAACCGTTGCTGGGGTAAGTTCTCCGATCATGGTACCAACAGGGAGTCACTATGCTGATCATATCATGTTCGAAGACAACTGGACCTCGTGGCGTTGTATGTTGAAGTTCAGATACCAATGTACATCTCGGACTTGTCGCAGTCGGGGAAACGGTTATCTGAAGGAGCGACGAACGGCCCAACACCGGACGTGCCTATACAAGATCTCTTCGCGCTTTATCGCAGAACGAAGACTATGCTCAGCATGCTCAAAGCTTTCTGTCCGAAGTGAGTCGTTTATTATTCTGTATGACTTGGACATGACATGACTTTCGAGCTAGTGTCGAACCTCATTTTGATGATGGCGTGTTCTTCGAACCATATGTGCGGCAATGGCTCGTTATCACCGACAGTAAAACCGCGCAATGGGTCAAAGCAGTAAGTACGCACTGTTGACCAAGTCATTCCGTAGCTGACTCCTTGATAGGCGATTGAAGCTGATAAGGTTGGCATTCCTACCCCTGATTGGACGACTGTCTTTGATTATTCATTTTCAGTGGGAAGCCGAGGGCGATGCTGGCCATAGTTCATCTATCGTCGATCTCTTTGATTCTCTACGCAGTCCAATCAAGACCCTGGAAGATTTGGAATGGTCTGACCCTTACCAGGAAGCTCGGTTCTTGACCAGCTTGGCGAAGGTGCTTTACACGATCATGAACCTTATACCCTCTCCTGATGTCGGGATGTCCAGACTATTAGCAAGGCTGTTGAACAGTATTGTCGTAGCGTGGAGGAACTGTTCATGGCCGAGATGTACCCTCGACCTGCAGAATTCTTGCAACCGCAAAAATCTTCAGCCTGGCTGGAAAAGGCCAAACAGCTCGCGATCACTGAGAAAAAGATCGAGGTGTTCAACTTCAAGCCGGAGTCCTGCGTCAAGCTGAACAACGTGGAGAGCGCGCGGAAACTACTCGATAACCTGTACAGCCAGATGGAAGCGGACAAGATTGCGGAGATAATCGAGCAGAGCGCGCCTCCTGTGCCTGCGAAGGTTGAGCGACCGCGGTTCTTGTTCACGGTCAAGATATCCGTTGCGGAAGGTTTAGTGCCTTTGGATAGCAGCCCGTCGTCACTCCTGGACACTTTCGTCACTCTCAGCGACGAAGCCGGTAATCGTCTCGCTAAAACGCGGACGATTTATGAAACCCTCTGTCCTCGCTGTACGCGTCCAATGTGTTGCATTCCATACTCTATACTAAAGATACACGTACAGGGGACGAAACCTTCGACCTATCTGTAGACAAGCCCTTGTGGTTGATGGTTAGCGTCCGAGACCGTGCGTTAGTGGGAAAACACGACACGATTGGCCGAGCATACATCTGTCTTGACCCCAAGCGATTTGGCGATTTCTTGACGCATGATCTCTGGCTGGACTTGGATAGGCCGGGACGCATCCTTCTTCGTGTCAGTATGGAAGGCGAGAAGGACGACATCCTTTTCTTCTTTGGACGCGCGTTCAGGTCATTGAAGCGAGCGGAGGGCGACATGGTCAGAATCTTCATAGACAAGGTACGTTACACCAGTCATTGTTCTTCACGATGGCTGAAAGAAAGTTTCTGTAGATGTCGCCCTTGATTAGGCAAACACTGTCGAGAAACGTTCTCAAAACCCTCACGAAGACCGGCTATTCATTGGACTACAACAAGGCCCTAGGCAATGTAACCGCGTTGTATCGCTCCGCCGTGGGTCAGGCCTCAAACGAGATTCAAGTACCGCTGCCCTCGGACGAGAAGCCGCGCATCCGGCCTGAAGAGCTGACGGACGTCCAGATCGAGCAGGTCTTGGCCCCTCTCTTCGACTACTTCGACAACAACCTTCCGACCATCAACACCTGCCTGGTCGACGCCGTGAAGCAGATGGTCATGACCAGGATCTGGAAGGAGATCCTCACTGTCATCGAGGGCTTGCTCATACCCCCGCTATCCGATGTTCCTAGTGACCTGAAACCTCTCACTGACAAGGAGGTGGATATCGTCTTCAAGTGGTTGAAGGTACGACGTCCCTGATGCTTGTTGAGAGAAAACGCTCATATGTTGTCTGCAGTTCCTTCGAGACTACTTCTATATCGACGGTGAAGGGCCCCTGTCCCTCGAAGAGCTCCAGAACCAGAGGTATCGTGACATCTTGTCGATCCGACTGTACTACGATTGGCATTCGTAAGTTCCGGTTCATCCAAGCCAGCGTCTCTCCATGCTCATGTTGTTATATAGGGATGCCCTAATGGAGGAGTGCGTGCGGATGATGCAGCAGACGCTCCGCGAGTCTTCTACCGTGACTAAGCGCTCGAAAAGCGTGTACAACCAGCGCAACCTGGGAACGATCAAGGATCGCAAGCGGGAGAAGAAGAAGGAGAAGAACGAGGTGTCCAACGGTGCGGAGACGATCATGCGTATCCTGCGCATGAGGTGAGTGTTCCTTCTCTCGTCCTTCTCTCGTGCAGCCTCGACTCACTTGCGGAACCTCCAGGCCGAGAACTCAGGAATTCATCGCGCAACAGATGCAAATCATGACCGCCGTGCAGCAGGAGCAGGAAGCGCGCGCCCAGGCACAAGAGCGGAAGAAGCTGCAGCGCCCGCGAAGCCAGGTGCAGCCGCAAATACCCCCGGTTCCTGCCGTCCCTCCGATATAAAAACCTCTCTCGATTTTCTGCTTTCTTCTTCTACCTCTGTGTGGCACTCCTCGCGATACCTCGGATTTTCTTTCCTTGTTCCTGCCATATACTCATTGCTCTTGCTATTGGATGTTTTGCTCTAATACCTCGATGTTTCTATGTGGATCAGCTTGGTGCCGAATCTTAATCTCGTTTTCGCTCTCAAGATCGCTCCGCATTTGCTGCGGCGGGCGACGTCGGATCTCCCGCGAAAGTCATGTCGCCGTCAGACGCTCTCAAGCTGCAGAACGTCCATGTGTGCGACGTTGGAGGCGATCAACTTCGCAAAATAACGCGACTGTGCAATGACATCACATCGCCCAGTGCCCACATACGTACAGGAAAGGCGCCTCACCCCTATACTCAGTGACCTCCATTACTCGACACCAACGACCTCATACCCCTGTTCCGTTCATAACGCGAGGGTCCATATGATGTGCGCGTGCAGTCCGGCCTTCGGATCACACCTGCCCCAGCACTCTCATTCCGTGTTACCGAGAGCAGGGATCCGGAAGTAGCCACTTGAACCACGGCGTGCTTCGCGTTGCTCCTTCATTATACCCATACACTTCGTGTGTTGCCTACGACTACTCGCTTAGCAACCCATTGTGCACGACCTACGACGCCAGACACGAAAGAACGACAGCGCTCCATCCTCCTCTCCGAACTGCTTCAGCAATGCACTCCAAACGCTGGCATAAAGGCTACGCCATGCCGCCCTCGACCACACAGGCCCGCAGGGACGAACCCTTGTATTTTTATGGAGATTCGCGACATCCTCACTATGAGTATGTCTTGTCTATTTTCCGCGCTGGCGTTCTTGACGTGCCGCCTAGGTTCTCCAATTTCTCTCCACACGATGTCGAGTACCATGGCCAAATATACCCTACAGCCGCCCATCGTACGCTATCGTGTCGTTCTTATCCTCAGACGCAACACGGTACTGATCCGTGCGCAATATGCAGTATTTCAAGTTATGAAGTTCATCACCGTCGCGCCCGACATCGCCGAGAAGATCAAGCACCAACGCGATCCGCTCGAGGCGACGCGGAAAGCGAAGGAGTACGAGCGCCATCAGCGCCCGGACTGGAGCATGGTGATGGTCGACGTCATGTACGACGTGCTTAAGCGCAAATTCTACCGGCATCCTCTGTTGCAGCAGGCGCTCGTAGAGACGGGGACGCGCCCGCTCATAGAAGACAGCAAGGTGGGTGCTGATTTCAAGAGAGACACGACCGCTCACGCAAGATCGGAGAATCTGTGATAACCTTTACCTTTTTCCTTGTCTGTAGACGGACGGGTTCTGGGGGATCGGGGCGGACGGCAATGGCGAGAACTGGATGGGTCGGTCTTTGATGCGTCTGCGAGAGAAGATCAGGCAGCCTATCAAGTTTCATGGCCGCCAGGACCCGTATTTCGAGTTCGTCTCTATGCTCGCGGGAATGTCAGAGCTCCCTTACTCACGGAAAGAGCAGGTTCTCGAACTTTTCCCCGCATGGAGTCGTATACAAAGGATCTCGCTATCCTTCGGCCCAACATCGTGAGCACCCTGACGAGATCTCTTGAGATGAGTTCTGCCACGGAGTACCGATGATGGTCATGCAAACAGTCTTCGAAGCGTACAAGTTCTTCACGACGGCTCCAGAGATCTCGGAGCGTATTCGGCAGCTGCCCAAGCCACGCGACGCGCTCGCCGAGGCGCTCAAATCCGAGCTCAAGGACCTTGTCCGCGCCGATTGGCACGACGTGCGCGTCCGGGTGATGGAGCGCGTGCTCGAGATGAAGTTTACGCAGCACCAAGAACTGCGGCAGATCCTGCTCAGCACGGGCGGACGCGAGCTTGTCAACGACAGTACGGTGAGTGACAGCGCCGCGTGTCCGCATTCGAAGTGGCCCCTGACGATCGTCTCTGTTTTGCCAGGATGACGTGTTCTGGGGTGCTGGGCAGGACGGAAAGGGTCATAACGAGCTAGGAAAGGTATTGATGCGCCTGCGAGCCAAGCTTCAGTACGGCGATTGACATCGCGCGCGGTTTGGGATCCCTCGACGTTGATAATATGGGCTTTCCTGGAAGCCACTTCGCATCATTTTTCGGCGAGCGCGATGCGCTGCTTTATACCCGCCACTATACCCAATGCATATGCAGAATTTACACGGACCCAGCGCGCTTGAACAGCGCAAGCTCGGCGGCTGTGGACACGAGGCCGGCTGTACGAGGGCGTGCCTGTCCTGCCAAACAGCTCTGCCACATGGAGAGGTTCGAATCTGGCATCGAGAGATCTGGATCTCGCGTACAAGGAGGTCAAAGTCTCGAAGAGGTGGTCGGCGATAGATGAAGTCAGCGACGAAAACCGTCGCGGTAGCGGCATGTGGACCAAATGCGGACCGCATCGGCTGCACGCTGTGAGCGGGCAAACTGAGGCTGGAAGCCTCTCTGTCTGGTTATGCGCCGTAGAAAGTTATCAATATCTTGAAGACGGATGAGGAACAGATCTTAGAATGGGGCGCTCGAGGAAGGCGTTTCGTGCGATCTCCGGGAAGCGCCGGGCGAACTCGGTAAAGCCCGGCATCGGTAGCTGCAACCCGTCGCTGGCCGTCTGCGCGTCCGCATTCCGTTGGGATGCCATTTTGGTGGGCTATTCGAGCAGGTGATAATTCCGACGTCGGCATCTCGAGTGAAAACACACGCTATACGCACTTTCAACCGGCAATTTGGATCACTATCTGTGCAGGGATGCTATTTTACCAATCGCGAAGTCGGCATCTCGACCGTGAAGAAAACACGGGCTGCGCTCACCCTCGACCGACGATATGGACATCAGCTAATACAGTTGTTTCAGCATATCACCGATCAATTGCACGTATTGTGCATCCTACCTCTGAAAGCACTTGCACAGGATTTGCATTAACGACGTCGAAGACGGCGCCGCTTGTGATTGACGTTAGTCCAGCGCCAGTTGTGACAAAGCTTGCGCAACGGATTTTCGTAGCCAGCGGCGGACTCTGCGCGGAATGAAGCTTGCAAAGCGCAAGGTCAGCGGAGCTCGGAACGGCCGTGCATGCCTACCTCCGACTCCGAGATGAGGGCTACGGATCCGCGATCGACGGCCGTGCACGAACTCGAGTCACGGCGCGTCGAGATACCACTCCTGGCAAAACGGCCAGAAAGATCGTTCTTGATTATTCTGTTCGGTGGGGCGGCGTGTAAAGTAATGAATACTGCCGAGCTCCGCCCGCACCCGGCTCTCGTCTGGTCAGATGGGAGTGCCATGCCCGCTGTGGTCCCTGATGTTCATCGAACCCACGACTTTCGGAGATAAAGTGTATTTTGTCATGCTTCCGGTGCTGAAAATGTAATCGGGGATTGATCGGGATACCGCGTTAAACCAGCGATTACACCCATGGGTACGAAGTCCCAGGGGACACGTTGTGCGTCTTGCAACCTATCTTAAGTTTCTTCGACATAAGAATGGGAGGCGGAAAGTGAAAGGTCTATGGCTTCTGTTGATGTTTCTACTATGATATACGCCTTCTAAGGCGCCGATCGCCCGTTCCAAGGCCCTGCCAGGCCGTTCCACGACGGGCTCTTGCGGATGGAAGGGGCTCTGCAAGACAGTTTCGCTAAGCTCGTCGGGAGGCAATGTTCCCGCCGAGCGCAATCCAGAATGTGTCTAGCACACGTGTGTTGGAATTGCAGGGAGCTTATGGAGCCGAGCTGAGGGAGGACTCGGAACTAAGGGCAGGCCAAAAGGTTGGGGCTTATGATGCGACGATAGATAATCAAGCCGAGACGCGTCGGTGCCCGCCCGTATAAAAGCCGTCCGCCGACGACTCCTCTTCCTCAACACCCACCAGATCGCTACCACATCCACCATGGTGAGCAACGAGTTTTCGCGAGCGTCGAGTAAGCCTGATCTGATATCGTGTCCCTGGCAGGTTAAAGTCGGCATCAACGGGTACGTCCGGACCGCTTTTCCCGCCGGGAGTCGCTTGTGGATGATCGCTCACTGATAATCCTCTCATGCGCTCTCCAACAGTTTCGGTGAGTCTCAGTCGCTTCGATCTTATTCCTATCGTTGATACCTAACCGGCGGTATGCGATTCAGGTCGTATCGGCCGTATCGTGCTGCGCAATGCGCTCCTCCACGGCGACATCGAGGTCGTGGCCGTCAACGACCCCTTCATCTCGCTCGACTACATGGTCTACATGTTCAAGTACGACTCCGTCCACGGACGCTACAAGGGCCACGTCGAGAACAAGGACGGCAAGCTTTACGTCGAGGGCAAGCCCATCACGGTCTTCGCCGAGAAAGACCCCGCCAACATCCAGTGGGGCTCCGCGGGCGCTGAGTACATCGTCGAGTCTACCGGCGTCTTCACCACCACCGAGAAGTGCGTCCTCCTCCCCATGTCCCATCCTGCCGCGTGCTGACGTCGGCGCATCGTTACCAGGGCTTCCGCCCACTTGAAGGGCGGTGCCAAGAAGGTGATCATCTCGGCGCCCTCGGCCGACGCACCCATGTTCGTCTGCGGCGTCAACCTCGACCAATACGACTCGAAGTACACCGTCATCTCGAACGCGTCGTGCACGACCAACTGCCTCGCGCCGCTCGCCAAGGTCATCCACGACAAGTTCGGCATCGCCGAGGGTCTCATGACCACCGTCCACGCCACGACCGCGACCCAGAAGACGGTCGACGGCCCGTCGAACAAGGACTGGCGCGGCGGTCGTTCCGTCAACGGCAACATCATCCCTTCCTCCACTGGCGCCGCCAAGGCCGTCGGCAAGGTCATCCCCAGCCTCAACGGCAAGCTCACGTAAGCGCCACCCCCCATCCTCTTTCACTTCCCGCGCGGCGAACTGATTGTGTGCCCACCCTCTAGCGGTATGGCCTTCCGCGTCCCGACTCTCGACGTCTCCGTCGTCGACCTCGTCGTCCGCCTCGAGAAGGAGGCCACCTACGACGAGATCAAGGCCGCCGTCAAGGAGGCCGCGACCGGCCCGCTCGCGGGCATCATCGACTACACCGAGGACTCGGTCGTCTCGACCGACTTCATCGGCTCGGACGCGTCCTCCATCTTCGACGCCGCGGCCGGCATCGCGATCAGCAAGACGTTCGTCAAGCTCATCGCCTGGTACGACAACGAGTGGGGCTACTCGCGCCGTGTCTGCGACCTCCTCGCCTACGCGGCGAAGAAGGACGGCGCTCAGTAAAGGGATCGATCGCATTCGGTTTCGCTGTTCGCTGTTTTACTTTGACTGTGACTGACTGACCTCCGGCCCGAAGAACAAAAAAACAAATGTATTCTGTTGTAACGGTGTAATAATCGATTGTCATGCAGATATCCTATAGACATTTTTGTCTGCGTATCTCTGGTACACCTGCGAAACAGACGTGGAAAACGGACTGCGGCATTGTCCATTGGTGGACGGCCGGACCAACACAGGAGAAGAGAAAGGAAGGGGAAGCAGCGTTTACGTCACCAGCCACAACATGGATGCTACCGCAGGGGCTTGTGAGCCGTTTCTGTCTTTCTGTCTCCCCCGAGATTCTTCCAGCACACTCCAATAGAGTGTATCTGCAGCACGGCGAAGTGGGGTGGAACTTTTACCATGCACTGCATTTTTTGGCGGGGCTCCCCGCGGACATCTTTGACCACTGCGGAGAACTTTTACCACCTGCAGATACACTCTAATACGGTAACACCACATCAAACACTTCAGGCCGAGATGGATGTATGGTGCCCATCGGTAAGGATCCGGGTGCGCACGACGTAGCTTCTGTACTGCTTCGTCAAGAGCGCTCGTATGCAATATAAATAGAGCTCGTTCTTTCATCTTGTCGCCTTCCGCGGTCTCGCAGGCGCTCAAGAACGCCAAGAAGGCATGAGGTAGGTAGGTAGGTTCATCGGCATCAGCTTCTCGATGGTCAACATCGCGTCCTCCATCACGAAAACCGCTTTTTGAGCGGGTCCTCCGTACATATTCTGCTGACCATGACACGCGAGGTGCACGATCGTCGCCCGGGGTAAATAGGCCAGTACCCCGCCTCCGTTGTGGCTCCACAGCCGTCCCCCGCTGCGATACCGTTACCGTTCGCAGGGGGAAGGTGTATCCCCGATCCTGACGGTAGGGCAGCACGAACGACGTTGGCTTCAAGTTCTTCTTGCGCCGAGTAGAGGTCGCATAGCTCAGGCCCTAGGTCTCTGCGACGAATAGGGCACTGCGGCGATCAACGCGCGCCCGTATGTCATGCTTTCCTCACTGGTTGCTCGACGCTGATCTCGCCGCCAGCAGAATGGCAAATATATAGCACATGACAAGATGGTGACATTACAATCATCGGTCTGCCGACCCGTTAAACCGGGACAATATATATATAACGTACTTCCGTTTATCATACCGTCGACCGCCGAACTCGGCAGTAGCACTGTTGAAGCACTGTTGGGCTCGCATGGAGCAAGGGTAGTGTTCGAGAGGAGGGCAACTTCGTCATGCGGCGTCGTCCACCGGCTCCTTCGTGATCGATCCGTTCGCTTTCGCGTCGTGGGCGTGGTCTTGGAGGTTGGACCGCGGTCCGTGGTAGTGGCGATGTCCCCTAGAAGAAGAAGTAAAAAAAAAAAAAAAAAGACCGAGGGATCGCACGTCAGCGACAAGACGCGGGGGAAAGTTGGCGTCAGACGCACCCGACCATGTACCAGAAGCTGGACGTGAGAGAAGCCGGAAAAGGTCAGCGCGCACGAGCGGGGGTCAGTGGGAAACGTGCGTACCCGGAGAGGATGACGACGCCGAGGGTGATGACCGACGCGTAGTTCATGTTGTCCTTCGTCACGGGCCGCACGTTCGGCAGGGAGAAGATGACGATGATGAAGCACGTCCAGAGGATGCAGTTGATGTTCGCCGCCCAGCCCAGTCTGTGAGGTGAGCAGATCGGTCCTCGTCAGTTCCCGCGATCGAAGTGACGCTGAGCAGGGCGAGGCAAAAGGAAGAGTGTCTTACAGTCCATCGCCCATGTAGACTGGAAGACGCGTGGTGGAGTCAGCGTTGTCCTGCGGAAGTATGAGAGGTGGTAGAAGGGGGCGACGTACATGGGCCCGGCTTGAACTGGACTTCGGGATGGTTCCTGTAGATCCTTCGTCTAATGGAGTATGGCAACCCATGAGCGCGCGTCGCCTGACGAAAGACCAAACCAGACAAAAAAGAAACGAAAACGTACAGCGCGATGGGGATGATGTACGAGCCGTCCAACGCGATGGCGCATAGCGAGAAGATGGCGTTGGCCGCGACGGGGCTCGCGAAATCGAGGAAGCCGGGGAGAATCGAGACGAACGTCGTGAGCTGTTCCCCAACAGACCGTGAGCGAGTTTCATAAGAGGAGAGACAGGAAAGCCTCACCCAGATCGCCCGGAGCGGGGTCTGCGTCAGGCTCGAGTTGTGGCCAAAGTATTCGCGGTCGGGTAGGCCGTGGTCGCGGCTGAAGGCGAACACGGTCCGCGAGCACGCTTGCAGCGCGGTTTGGACCACGAAGAAGGCGGTGAGGCAAACGAACGTCTACGCGTGCGCCGCATGTAAGCGCGCGCGACTGGTTTGTCTGGCTGTGTACTAGCTTACCCAGAGGAAGAGCGCGCCCGGCTTGCCAATCCGCATGGCCATAATCTATCACCACATAAATTCTCGAGAGGCTCGCGTAGTATTCAGGCCCAGGACGCACCTCGAGGAATGCCGAGCCAGATGGTCCCGGGAGATTTTCGCTGTTGCATACGTTCAGCCACCCTGCCCTATTCGAAGAAGGCGAGAGGTTTAAACGCACAGAGGACCGGAGCACAGGACGAGGACGATGTTGAGCAGCCAGCCGATGGTGCCGGTGCCGATCACGGCGATGAAGATCGCGCTCGGGGCGGCGTAGGCCGCCCGCCTGACTTCTTCCCTGGTGGAACAAGGTTCAGCTCGGCGTTCCGCTGGCAGGCAAATATAGATCAGATTGGGGTGGACTTACGAGATATGGGCGGTGGCGTCGTAGTCCTGGGTACGTCATCGAAACAGGATAAGGCAATCAGGGTCATAGTAAAGGGGAAGTGGATACGAACCGTCATCTGCGCGTGGAGAACGTGGAAAGCGTCGATTGAGTTTCCTGGATGAAGGACGGATGGAGGAGGAGTGGGGCGTACCGTCCATTGCACGCTCAGAAGGCCGAAGAGGAACGCGATACCGGTGTTCCATCCCCCGGTCTGGTTCACGATCCCGTCCGAGCCGAACACGTACTTGGCCGCGTGCATCTCGTGCCTCGGCGTCTTCGCCAGCAGGCAGATGATGATCACTATTCACACAAAAGTTCCCGCTTTCAGATGGGTGGACCCGGAGAAAGGCGCGCGCGGGGGAATACGACGAGAGAAGGGCAACGTACGGAAGGTCGTGCCGAGGTTGACAAATACGAAGCCCTGGGTGAAGCGCGCGAGGTGGCGGGTGGCGAACGAATTCTATATTAAATCGGTGGTGCGCAGGCGCGCCCATACGTAGTCCGTGATGAGCGGAGACGATAAGAACGTTAATGTGAATGCGAAGGCTCACCAGGATCCCGTGCAGGACGAGAAGCGCGACGAAGAGGCCGACGACCTTGCCCTGCGTGATCTCGTAGTCCCCGCCCTGTGCGCTGTTCGCATTGGCCGGAAAAGGAAAAAATGCGGGATACATACCTTCGCAACGACGACCGCCGCCCAAATCATGTTTGACAGCTGAGATTACCCAAAGCAGACGATATCAGCAAATGACGTCGCCAAACGGAAGTACCGCTCCGATAACGGGTGTAAGAATGGCACGCACGCCGAATTCGGTGGAGGAGATGCCTGCCACCTGACCGAGTATGTTGAGCCATCCGACGAACCAACCCATCTGCGAGAAGATGAGCCTGAGAAACACAGATAAGCGGAGAGGAACCGAACGGGATACGCACCCTCGCACGGTGTTTGATGGGCACGAGCTGCGCCGTAGCGGTGTATCTAGAAGGGGATGAATGAGCTAGGGTCTTGTGCGATGAACCATGGTGTAGATGCGTACAGGCCACCGCAAGTTGGGAAGGCGCTGACAATCTCGGCGATGCTGGCTCCTGCATATAGAGCTTGAGTACGTTTTTCGTGGCGCCGAGATGAGGTAGTACACGTACCTAGAGTGAAGCACATGCACGCCCCCAACAGCCAACACCACACCGCGCTGGCGGGTCCTCCCAGTAAGAGCGGCGTATTGAAAGTCGTCGCCACGGAACTGCATAGGCCCTGCGACCACCGATCGGAGGTCCGTCAAATCGTCACGGCGGAATGGAGAGGGCAAGCGACGCACCATGATACTGAACGCGAAACTAATCTGTCACGCGCGAGAGCGAAGGAACAGAGGGCGGGGTCAGCGTGTGCGGCTTCAAATGTCATCGAGCGCAGCGCCGCTCACCGTGGCCAAGTTGCTGAACTCGCGCTTGAAGCTGGGGACGTATCCGAGCGCCTCGAGCTCCTTGTCATCGTCGTCGAGGTCGGACACGGACTGCAGCCCAGCCTCGGCGACGGGATACGAGCCTTTCTTCTGTAGATCGGTCATTGACACGACGGGGGTAAGGAGCAAAGGAGTGGAGGAGGACGGCGGGAACCCGGGGTGGAGAAGACGGAGAAGAGAGGGAGGGAAGCCAAGCGCACCGGAGGCGGCGACTCCGTTCAGGACGATATGATCCAGTCAGAGAAGGTGGAGAAGACAGGGCCCGAGCGTTCAATTCGGACCTTTGCATGATGCGCGATGTGAATTTTCGCGGCTTATCGCGCACACGGATCTTCTTCCACCGAACGTTCGATCAAAGCCATCATTGATTCGTCCCGATGATTGGCTTTTTCACAGTTGATACCGAAATCAAATTGCTATTGGTTCGCGGGTGTTGAGATCTTTGAACCAACCAAGCCAAGAGATCCATTGTACCTGAAGGAGAGGTGAGGTGCATCAGGAAAAACCGGATTTGCTAAAAGCCTCCTAAAATGTACTAAAACATGCTCATTTAGTATACGTAGTTTTAGAGGGTTTCGGTACCCAATAAGCGACTCTTTCGATAGTCCGATTTTTCCTGATGTGGGCGGAAGCTCAGAGGGCCGGACAGCGTGGAAGCCGAATCTGGGCCAATTGCGGGAGCGATTTAGGGGCTCTACCATGCACGCAAAGCGCGCGTGTTCCGTTCCTCTAACAATCTTGACGATGTGCAATCAAGACCTGTTGTCTTCAGCCTTGTCTGCCCGTGTTGACCATCAGTACATAGGACACACCGTACCACTGCGACCACTGAGAATGTCCGCAACGACTTGGTGACCCGCAAGGAATCTTCCACCTTGATCAGTGTTCCATCATCTATCTAACAGTGATTGACATTCAGATCAAACACCCCTTCCTTGAGCGACTTCACTCAGCGAACGCGCACGTAGGCAAGCAGTACTCGAAGCACGTCACTCCCAGAGCGCGACGCCCATTGGCAGCATGGAATACAAAACGAACACATTACTGCAATCAATGCGTGGGCGTAATCGACACGCCAATTTTGGCATTTCTTTCTACTTCACCTTGAATCACACTGCTGGTGACCACCTTTGTCATACATTCTCCGGTACTTGCCTGTAATCTACGGTGCATAAACGGCGACAAGTATATGACATGGCCAGCACCTGCACAGCTAGGATCGCCCATGCCCTTGTCATACGAACATCGACAATTCGCGTATCCGTGACCACACCACGCCCTACAGCGTATGTCATACAGTTTCCGACAGCTTACCACTCAGCCGCGCCGTAGCGTACCTTATGTCATTAATTCTGTCATACAGAATCAGCAACGAATGACTGGCTCCAACCGCCGGTGTCATACATGTTGCGACTCACGCATCCTCGTCTCCGCTTCTCCCGGCTCACCCGCTTCAGCCCTGTCATACATATTGCGAAAATGTTATTAGTTTTCGCCTCAGGTCTAATACTGCTCCAGGTCATATACTACTCCTCTACCTGCTGTCATACATTTCGCGACTCGCACATCAGAGCATGTGTCATACATAGCTCGCCAACAAGCCTTGAATTCGGCCACCCGGATTACCTGCCTGCGCGTTCTGTCATACAGAGCTCGACACCGCCGATACGTCCCTCGTTCATGATCCCCCTCCCTGTCATACAAGCCCTCATTCATGAACGACAGTACTTGCCACTCCCTCTGTCATACATCTCCCGACCCTCGTGTCAGCACCTGTGTCATACATACATCGTTAGTGAGTCTCGACTCTGCCCACCCGAATGGCCCGCCTTCGCATTCTGTCATACAGATTCCGACACGTACGTACGTCGATCTTAACGACTCGCGCATCTGAGCATGTGTCATACATAGCTCGCCAACAAGCCTTGAATTCGCCCACCCGGATGGCCTGTCTGTGCACTCTGTCATACAGAGCTCGACACTGCCGATACGTCCCTCGTTCATAGTCCTTCGCCCTGTCATACAAATCCTCGTCCATGAATGACGGTCCTAGCTATTCCCTTCTGTCATACCGCTTCGGACTCATGTCAGCGCCTGTATCATACATACCTCGTTAACAAGCCTTGACTCCGCCCACCCGGATGGCCCGGGTCCTGTCATAGACTTTGACCGGACTCGGTGTCACATATTCATTACATTACTGCTTCAGCTCACAGACCCGTGGCAGACACCTCATATTCTGCTTATCCGGAG